AGGAAGCAGAGGAAGGAGGACTGCTGAGTTCAAGGCCAGTCTAGACTGTACAGAGTGAGTCCCTGTCTCGAAAGAATCCACTTGGACTGCAGAGATGGCTCTGTGGCTAAGAGTCCGTACCACTCTTGCAAAGGACTAGCGTTTGGTTCCTAGTACCCATAATAGGTGGCTTATTAAGTCAGTATAACTTCAGCTCCAAGGGATCGGAATGTTCTTCTGGCCTCTGTAAGCACTGCACACATGTGGTACACGTACATGTATACACACATACACACACACACACACACACACACACACACACACACACGTAAATAAAAACAAATATTTAGGGCTGGAAAGACTGCTCAACATTTAAGAGCACTTGCTGCTCTCCTAGGAGGTCTGAGTTTGGTTCCCAGCACCCACATCAGACGGTTTACAAGCACAGTAATTCCATTTTCAGGGAATCTGACATCTCTGGCCTCCAAGGACACCGGCACTTGTGTTCAATCTCACACACATGCAAATACATTAATTAAAATAGTAAGACACATCTTTAAAAAACAATCCTTTTATAATGAGTGCATGCCAGTACCTCTTCCACGCTGTATCGTTAAAGAGCATTTCGTAGCTGGTACTGACCCACAGTAGACAGGCACTTTGGTGGCCCAGCCTGGCTTGGGGATAGGGCTTGGCTTGGGGATAGGGTGGCACTAAGCTGGTTCTACACTATGAGGGCATGTGTCCCTTCTGACTGTGACATTCAAGACTGTACCCCATGCCTGGCACATGACAGGTGTTGGTGGCCACAGAGTAACCAAATCACCAAGCCACATAGGACCCCAAGGGCAAGCAGACACTCAGCTGGACTTCCTTTCAGAGGTAACCTCTTCCAGGAAGCCTTCCTGATCTCTCACAGTAGGGGAGGGGCAGAATGGAAGCAGAGAGGATGAAACAGAAGCCACCTGTTCTGTCCAGACCACAGACCACTCATCTACCATGCGCTCACACAGGACAGACCCCCGTTTCTCTTCCTACATCCACTGTCTGCATAGCCCAGCCCGCAGCGTCCTTATAGGCCCTCACCAAGGGGTCTTACCCAGCCCTCCTGAGCATTAGTCAGCAGCACGGAGGTCTCAGGGAAGTTGAAGGAGCTGCTGTGACTAAGAGACTCAGCTACACTACAAAAGAAACTCAACTCGGCTCCAGACTTCAGCTGAGAGAAGGCCGACGGTGTGAAGAGAAACGCCATTGTTACTCGTTGGCTGGCTACCGCATGGTGACCAAGACTGCTACCTTCCCAGGGGCTGAAAAAGTCACGGTTCAGGAACACCAGTGGCTGCTCGCTCGGGGAACACCATCTCGGTGAGCAGACAGGGCGCTGGGCAGCAGAGGGCCAGGCAGCTACAGGGCTTCACCAGTTTGCTTTGTCTAGGAGGGCCTTGTTTGGGCCCACTGGTCCAAGCAGTCTAGTCTAGGAGGATGGGGAGAGGAGCTCTGTGGAAAGGGTCGTCTAAGGCAGGTATGAGTACACCCCTTCTAGACTGGCAGCCGCCAGCTATGTGGTAGGTTAGGAAGCCTGAGCCAGCCTCTCTCCCCTACAGTCGTGCCGCTGCCCTTGACCTCTCTGAGCCTCCATTTGTTGCCTGTGAAATCAAAGATGGCCCTTTCAAACACACCCACTGGAGGTCTGGTCCAGCCTGCCTGTGGGGGCCCAGATAGACTCAGTATACCTCCTCAACTAAAACTCCCAGACAACTGGCCATTGAGCAGACACTGAAAGCTGTTGGCTTGGCCAAGCACTGGCCAACTCAATGACTAAACCAAGTCGATAGTTTGAATTCAGCATCTCCTCCAACCAGTGCTCAGTGAACCCCAGAGGTGCATAGGGAAGAGTCTAGAATGGTTAGGAGAAAGGGGAGAACTCTTTCTCCTACCCACGCCATCCTGGAATGCTGCCCTCCTCCCTTTCTACCTGTTATATATTTATTTTCCCCGTATAAAACCCAGAGAAAGGCTGGTGAAGTGAAAAACAGTCACCACATGGCATTAGGAACCTGGTGGATCTCAGACAGCTAAGTCCCAGCTTAGTTGGAGCCTGTGTGAGCTGGACTTACCCAGTCTCTCTGTGTCCTCTAAACTGGAGGGGGCTGATACCTTACATTGCAGGGTGGATCTGCATCTGGAAAGGGAGGGTGAAGTACACAGTAAGAGCTTAGCTGATGCAAGGTCTCCTGCTGATCTGTGCTCACTCCAGGGTCAAGGATATACATCGGAATATGCTGGTGCAGTTTGAAAGAGCTGCCAAGGAGATTCCCACCACCAATCAAAGGGCACTTCCCTTTCTTTGGCATTTCCTTATTGTGTCCTGTAAAAAGTCATGTGCAAGTCATGTGCAAGGTGGAATACCCAATAAATGTTATCTGAACCAGGGGCACTTAATAAGTGTTATCTAGGCCTGGGTTGAGAGGATAATGCCTGGGAACTGAGGACTTTGGAGCTAAATAAACCTGGATTTCAATTCTGGCGCTGCCAGCTAGAGGAGCTCTGTAGAAGAAGATACATCATTTGACCTCTCTGAACCTTGATTTTTCATCCATTAAATGGGAGTGATGACCCTGCTGTCCAGGGTTGCTGGGAGAATAAGCCTATGCATTCACTCACTAACCATCCTAGCCCTCCTCCAGGAACTCAACATACAGCGGTGACCAAACACACGCACGTTACGTCACACTGTGTGGCAAATGCTCAGGAGAACCACAAGGCAAAGGGGGCCGGGGGTTGGGGAGGAACGACAGTGTCTAGACCCAGTCTAGAGCAGGGGCCTGAGGGAAGGAAGGGGGAACCGCACGGAGGTCAGAGGGGGATTGCCAGGCAGCCCGATGGGAGTGCAGCAGCCTTAAGAATCGCGTTGGTGTGTGACTGCAGCCACACATGTAGGGAGCCTGGCCTGGAACCCAGGTGCTCAGCCAATGCCAGCTCTCTATTTCCAGGCCTGTGGAATGAACCCCACGCACGTGCCCCTTCCCTGAGAAGAGAAGCACAAGCTTCCTCAGGGCAAGCCTGAGCCAAGAGCTCCTTCAGCCAAAGATGCAGGCTCCATTTGCGCTCCACCACCCGGTGCTGAGCCTGCGCCAGGCACTAGGCTCTCGGATGGGCAAGCCAAGCGGGGAAGGGAACGAGATGATCACAGCATGGGCCCTGTCCTCATGGGACCCCACACAGAGTCACAGCAAGAGGTAGTGGCAGTGCCGCACGCACGGTCACATGAACAAGCAGTCTTCAGGGGGTGTCCCGGCGTTAAAGCCGAGAGTGTGGCTGCAGAAGGGTTCCTGGAAACGGTGACCACGGAGCTTGATGGTGAGGCATGGAGTGGACAAGGAAGAATATTCCAGGCGTGAGGGGCTGGGTGTAGAGGTTCAAGAAGCTAACGGCCAGAAGATTGGAGAAAATAGACAGACCTTCACATTTCTGGCACCTGCTAGCTGACGGGCCTTCTCTTCCCCTCACTTGGTCCCTCAGACACTAGGGGGCTCCCACACTTACATACAGCATGGGGTGACCTGTCTTGACCCTGAGCCCCAGCCTAGAGTGCCCCACCCACAGCACCAGGCCCCAGGGGAACGGACACAGCACGAGTCTCAGGCAATGTGTGGCCACCTGGTGAGACTTGCCTGTTCCCTTCCCTTACTCCAAGTGTGACCCACAGGTGGCAGGATGGCTTTTTAAAACCTCACTAGATGAGCACAGACGTTCTGGATGAAGCAATTGAGCACGGAGCAGTGGAGTGGTGTCTCACCCACAGTCTTCTGTGACTGCCATCTCTGATGACACCTCAGCTCCCTCAGGATGGGTGGCTGGGTCTCCCCATCCTGGCAGTAGCCAGGTGCACAAGAAGCAGCTGTCCCCTCTAGTACAGACCCAGGTTCCAATGCCACCTCTGCTTTTGAGCAGCCTGTGACTCCACTTGGCTGACAGTAGGAACCATCCAGGGAAAGCTGCCCAGGGGCTTATCAGTAGAAGGGGCTGTCTCCTTCCTCAGCAGCCTTTGGACCCCAGGCTGGCCCTAGGCGAGGAGACAAATCTTTTCTGGTAACTGATGGAGGAAGGGCTGTGGTGGGGTGTCAGCTGAGCGGCACTAAATCTGACCTAAAGCCAACTTGCTTCTTCTCTGAGCTACCCCCCACCAAACACACACACCCAGCCTTTGCCCAAAAATGCTGCGAATGTTCAGCTTTATGCCCAAACACTTCTGAAGACTTGGGGCAGTGGGGGGGGGGGGGGGGGGGGGCGGGGCAGACGGGCTGACAGGGCCCTTGCAGTCCCCCACCACGGCCTGGTATCGGGTCATTTCTCTTCATCTGAGCTTCAGCTTGTTCGTGTGTAAAATCGGGGTGCCCTTCCTTACGAGGACGCTTCTTTGCAGACAGGCAGTGGCACAGAGCCTCGGCGAGCTGACCTGTTCCACCATCAGTACGTTTTTTCAACGAGGTGTGGTGTCCCCCTGCCTCCGCACGCCCGCCCCACGCCCCTCGCCCTCGCCCACAGCCTTTCTCGGGTCTGGGAAATTCTAGGGCGCTTTTAACTAGGGGGCGATGCGCTCCGCAGGAGTGGCTCAGATGGGGCTGGAGAACCCCCAGCTGAGCGGACACCCGAGCTGGGCGCAGCCCGGCGCACGTGGGAACGCCGCCAAGAAGTAGCACGTGTGGTGGGGGCGCCTGCGGGATGCGCGCGCGGGGACCCGGGACACCCGCGCCCCGCAACCCCCTGGAGGCTCCGGCCGGGGGAAGCCCCGATGGCCCCGGGCTTGCTCCTTAGCGACCTCGGGCTGGAACAAAGGCGCGGGGCGCACGGCCAAGGCCAGGAGAACCAGGCAGGGGCTGCACGGCCCGGTAGGGGTGCGGCTCCGGGGATCAGGCTCAGGCAGCCAGACTCCCGCGTGCACCCGGGGCTCCGCGGCTGGGGCTGCCCGGGGAGGACCGAGCGTTCCGCACCACCTCGGGGCGCGGCTCCGCGCGTACCTGGCAGGGTCCGGTGCACCGTGTTGCCCATCGCTGCTCCGAGAGTCGCGGCGCGGGGCTAGCTGGGCGGGCCGGGGGCCGCGGCCGGGCTGCGGGGCATTGCCGCTGTACGGGCGACCGGCGGGCGGCAGATGGGCGGCGCGGGCGGCGGCGAGAGGAGGCGGAGCCACCGGCCCGGGCGCGCCCGCCCCGCCCCCGCGCCCGCCGCCAACCGTGCCGGGGCGGGGCCGCCGCCACCGCCGCGTCTTTTGAAAGTTTGCACCGGCAGGGCGCGGGAGAGGCGGGGCTGGCCTCCTGTCCTTGACGTTCCCGCGCGGGGTGCGCGGGTTCTTTCTGACACTCGGGAGGGGCCGCGGGGCGCCGAGACCTCCTCCAGGCGCTGGGCCACTCTGGGCGGTGCCCGGACTCCAGGGGCGATGGTCACACAGGCAGGTCGCGCAGGACAGGGTCAAGGGCTCCATGGCAGTCCAGCCAGGGTGAGCTGGGGAGCCTGGGAACTTCTCCACTCCCTAGGCCACATACCTAGGAGGAGAGACTTCGGTGGTATGCAAGGGGGGTGGGAGGGTGGACCTCAGTCATTAGCTCACTATTCCTCCTTCATTAAAATACTGGCTAGACCCTATGTACCAGGCCCTGTGCTGAACCTCCACAGTCTCTGCTGTCCAGGAAGGGACAGTAGTGGTCGAGACAGGAAAGATTAGCCATCAAGATCACACAGTGATCAAAGCCAGCAAGAACGTTGAGGGTGTCAGGTAGCACTGGTTGGGGGTTTGGGAGAGAATGGGGTTGTGTATGAGGTGGGGAATGTGTGTGTGTGGGGGGCAAGCATTCCTCGTGGATTAGCCCACCCCATAGGTCTTTTCTCAGAACCTTTCAGCCTTGGCTGCTTTCCCATACTGAAGTCAGCTATCCTGTGCCTCCCTAGTCCAGACTCACAGGCTGAAACACCAAGGTGGAGGAGGTGTGATGATGGTGAGGAGACCCAGTCCCTAGCCTTTGCTTGCAGACTCTAGCTCCCATATGCTGTATTCCCATAGCCGTAGGAAGCAGGGTTGTTACCGCCGCGTCACAGACAGGGTAACTGAGCAATCAGACAGCAATCTCCCAGTTGCCGAGGGCGAGCTCCTTCTGAAGCTGTGTGAATAAAACAGGGTGCTCCAAGGAGAGCCTCTGCCTTGGCTTCTCAGGTGTCCTCAAACCCTCCACCTCCAGGAAGCTATGTCCAGACCTACTCTGTACTGAGTTTCTAATTCTCAATTGCAAGTGCTCTCAGTTATTTATTTTTTCACCCCAAACTCTGATGCGGGCAAGGTACGTTAGCTGGGTGGGCCTTCACTCTCTGTGAGCCTGGGGTACTTCAAGAGGTCGCCATTGCTATAAAAGGAATTGAGGAATTTCACTCAGATAAAAAGACTCGAGGCAGAAGGACTTCGTGATGGCCGGGTGGGGGGCTGCTGTCCACCGGCCTTTCAAGGCCACTTTCAGAGAACTCCAGCAAGACGCTGTGCTGTTTTCGAGAACGCTCGTCTGCAGCTACCGAGACCCCTACTGTCCTGGTGTAGTGCAAGAGGTGCCCCCATGAGATTCGTGGGTTTGAAAGGCAGGGATTGAGCCTCTCCGTGAAGATGTGCTTTGGGAAAATGCTGCCCCCTCCCCCATGGTGGTGACATAGCGACAAACCACGCGGAAAAGAATTGGGATCAAAGAATTTCTTGAAGATCCAGAGTTCCAAATCCGTGTGTTAAATACCATGAACTTGAAATACGGATGTGTAAGTAAGACGGTAAGCCTGTAAGTGGACATCTGACTGCCCCTCTTCCCTCTTGTTTTTTGGACTACTCAGCTTTACATGCATGGGCTCTTGGGGAGAATGGAGGTGGCCCTCTATCTAGAGTCCAAATAGATTGTAGACTGACTTATATTGGGGTATATACGGTAAATTGCTCATTCACTGAGGTCCCTCTGCACCTTGTCCTGTCCTTCAGCTACATTCATCCCTGGCTCCCCACACAGAGCTGGCCCCACTCAGTGCCCATTGAATAAAATATCTGCAGAGAGGCCTGGCTCTGACTGGGAGAAGACAGAAGGACGAGGAAGAGAAGAACTGCAAAGGAATGAGCTGCCATGACAGTAGTCCCGCCTCCTCATCTAGAGTGACAGCTGCGGGCAAAAGAAGCAAGCTCGATAAGCAATGCAGTAAAACACAAATGTAGTCACACCAAGGGCGTGGCCACTCCAGGATGGGCTGATTTGCTCATTCTAGGATTTGCTTTGGCTCTGGAGCCCACCCCTGAAAGAAACCTAAGCTGTTGCATGAGGGCGGGGCCCGAGGCTTGGCCAGGTGGGGAGACCTCTGTGCCAGGAGGTAAGAAACAACTAGGAGGTCTGCTGTGAGGGCTTCTGGGTTCCACAGGTTTCCAGAATTCAGAGTGGCAGGGGTGCACTGTGGTGGGCCTTCTAGAGTCCCAGGCTAGAAAAACCACAGGTCCCTGCTGATCTCCTGTGGCCCTGCTAATCCAGCTCCTCGGCAGGGCCAGCTGAGAGAGCATGGGACCTCTGTCTCCTTGGGTTAGGAGACCCGGGACCAGACCTGGGGGCAGAAGCATGAAAGGATGGGGAGAACGTGGGGCCCTGCTCTTGTGCTGTGCCCGGGGCTCTGTAGCCATAGATGCATCCTGTGACCCTCTCCCACCTCTCCAGACATAGGGATCATACCACACCAAAGAAGACAGCTTACAAATTCAGCCTTAGATACCGAGCCTCAGAAGGTGGAGACTCTTGCCTCGGGCATTCAGCTGCTAAGAGGAGTGGGGATAGCCACCCAAGTTAGATGGCTCCAAACAGTGTGCCTTGAAAGTAAGAAAAGGCAGCTCTACCAGGGGCCAGGGCACTGGAGCTTACAGGAATGAGTGGTGGGCCAGAAGTATCCCCACAGGGCCCAGGAGACAGGGCACATGGGATACCATCAGGCTGTAGCCACAGCCTCCAGTCTACCTACTCCTCAACACACAGCTGCCTGCCCCACCCAGCACAGGGACTGCTGTCCTCCTTAGGTATCACATGGGCTATAGGCTCTGGGTGAGCGTCACTGTAGTTATACAACATCAGGAGCCTCTAGAGCAGTGGGCAGTGGGAGGCCTGGCCCTGGCTCTGCTCCTGCGGGGCCCTGGCTCTGCTCCAGCTCTGACAGGTCCAGCCAACAACTGTCAAGACCCACCTGAGCTGGGGTTGCCCACCGTAGACACATCCACCCGCTCAGGAAGCCAGAGTCCAGGCTGCAGTTAGATTACAAAGCTGTTTTAAACTTGCCACAGGGAGGCTGCAGGAGGCCTGTGAGTTCCTGGTCAGCTTGGGCTCCAGAGCAAAGCCGTGTCTCATAACACCAAGACAGAGATGCACCTGATATGCACAAGGCCCTGGATTTGGGCCTCAGCACTGAAGAAAAGGCCTCAATTAACCTCAGGGTCATAACCCCTCACTTTATCAATTGCTGTTTGCAAAGTGCCAGCAGCTGGGTAGCAGGAACCTGGCAGCACCCTCTGAGTCCTCACCACCACCTGCCAAGGTGACCATGAACCTCTCAGGAAAGGAAACAGCCTCAGAGATGAGGTGGAGTAGCTGTCAGCCTCACCCAGTCGGGAGAAGGTAGAATTCAGAGGGTTCTCATTTCTCTCTAGAGGAGGAGGCAGGCTCAGAGGGATGAAGCCACCTGCCACAGCGCTAAACAGAGGAGCCAGGGGGTCTGAAGTTCTCTGGCTCCAGGATTCACCCCTGCTGTACTGCCTTCAATGAGCAAATCGCTTCTCATGGCACAGAACCCATCAACCGCACACCTGGCAGCCAAGGTGAAAAGGGAAAGCCTGTGCCATGGTTTTCCTTGTTTGTTTATGGACGCACGTTTGGTCCTGAAGATAGTTGTAGTGAGAGCTCACCTAAGGCCCACAAGAAGGTCTTTCTTATCCAAAGACATATCAACCATGTTCAGATGGACGGAGACACCAAGGTGGGAATTTACCTAAAATCCAATCGGGGTAGCTCTGCCAGAGCCTGGGTCATGGGTGCCTAGACTCAATGTTTCCATGATCCAAGGTCAGAGTGGAGGTAATTTGACTCACTGTGGGCACAGGGCAGAAGCCTGAGGCAGAGTGGGCTGGAGTCAGCCCATGACCCTGGCTTTCATTGGCGGTGTAACTACTGGGGCCCACACTGAGTGAGCACCAGGCTCCCCAAGGCCCATGGCATGGGCTAAGATTGCAATCATGCATGCAAGGAGGTAGTTCTACCAAGGAGTCCCTTTCTAGATGAGGGAAGTTAAAAACCAGCACACGTGGGTAGCGCTTGTGGTCATATAGGAAGAGACCGTGAACATCTGGGCTCCAGTTTGTTGATTGTCAGGGCAACTCTTGCAGTGAGGTAAGAAAAGTAGCCGGGGCCGGGCGGTGGTGGTGCACGCCTTTAATCCCAGCACTCGGGAGGCAGAGCCAGGCGGATCTCTGTGAGTTCAAGGCCAGCCTGGTCTCCAAAGCGAGTTCCAGGAAAGGCGCAAAGCTACACAGAGAAACCCTGTCTCGAAAAACCAAAAACCAAAAAAAAAAAAAAAAAAAAAAAAAAAGAAAAGGAGCCGGGGTTTGAGAGGACTTGCTTCTGAGGCCCCTTTAGTCATCCCTCCCTTTGATCCTCCTCTCTCTCCTATAGCAAGGCAGGGGCTATTATTTCTGCTCTATGTTAGGAGGCTCAGAGAGGGAGAGAAACTTATCTAAGGTCACTCAGCCAGCTGTAGCACAAGTAAACCTAGAAGCCCACCCAGTCTGACCCAGAGCCCTTACTTCCTTTCTTTTGGCCTTGAAAGTGGCTGAGAGTTTGCAGAGGGACCAGCCTGTCCTATCTGGGGCAACCAGAGTCCTGACAGCTTCCTGGAGTTGTAGAAAACTGGCCCCAGAGATACCGACTTCTGAAGAAAAGCTAGAACACTCAAGAGCTTGTCACTCAAGAGCCCAGCTTCAAACACAGCTTTGCCCTTAGGGACTGGCAGAACCTGGCTGCGTCATGTGCTCCTGTCCGCCTTGTTTCTGAGTCTGTGCAGTGGAGATGTCCAGGCACACATGCCTCTGGGTACTGGAGGAGTGGGTCATCAGCCAG